ATTCAGTAGTGCACGCATATTATATTAATAATCAGGTTAGTCAAGGTTGACATGTAAAGTCAATTTGTGTCAATATTGTTTATTTGCACCAAGTGTAATGTATTTATGGTAATTAAATTTTAATAGTCACATATCTGAGGCTTATTAGGACGAACCAGACTTGAATCAAAGTTTGAAAATGTTGTTATATAATGTTAGGTGATTATAGATTTAGAACTATTTTCTACATATAAGAAGAAGTCTATAAAGAAGATTTGTAAATAAAAGGAAATTATTATTATTATTTGGGTGTCGCCCAAATAGAGTAATCAAGTATAGAAAACTGTTTTCTACTCCATTTCCCAGTTTTCGGAAGGACTAACTCGCTAACCGTGGATTAAAGTTTAATCGGCGCTGCCGTTTCTTTATTTTCTTTAGTTTCTTTAGCAAACATCAAATAATTTGTAGGCAAAGGGAATTGTAAGCATTTAACGTATTCGCCGTAGGGCAAAAAACTATTTAGTAGTGTACGTATGTTACATAATCAGGTTAGTCAATAGACATGTAAAGTCAATTTGTGTCAGTATTGTTTATTTGCACCAAGTGTAATGTAACATAGTAATTAAATTTTAACACTCAGATATCTGAGACTAATTAGGACGAACCATTGTTGAATCAAAGTTTGAAAATGTTGTTACATAGTTTTAGGTGTTTATAGATTTAGAACTATTTTGTATATGTAAGAAGAGTTTTATAAAGAGGATTTGTAAATAAAAGAAAATTATAATTATTTGCGCCTTGCCCAAATAGAGTAATCGAGTTCGCTTGTTTGATTCAAAGTTGCAAGGGCACGCAATACGTGCATAAATAAAATAGATAAATATAATAGAATTTTTTGGGAATCAATCGATTTTTAGAGGAAAATGCACAGAAAGAGAAGATCAGAAAGGATTCAGAGTGGGGACCACTCAAATCTGCTGGGACAATGCTAGTTTCAAACGCATGTCTGCCATACTGGCCACAGGTAACCCAGGCTCTGTGATAGTACCGATTTTTCACCCAAAATTTACTTGAGACAATCAGAATGGCCNTTTTTTGGGAATCAATCGATTTTTAGAGGAAAATGCACAGAAAGAGAAGATCAGAAAGGATTCAGAGTGGGGACCACTCAAATCTGCTGGGACAATGCTAGTTTCAAACGCATGTCTGCCATACTGGCCACAGGTAACCCAGGCTCTGTGATAGTACCGATTTTTCACCCAAAATTTACTTGAGACAATCAGAATGGCCGGCCGTGGAACTCTTAGTGGGGAAGAAGACGCGAATATAATTGAACTCAGATAACTGGAACACGAATATCCGCCACGAACTCCCCAACCAAAACAAACAAACAATCTTTTGAGAAGAACCGTTAATATAGGAAATGATCCAGTAGGATATGCCACGTGGCAACCGAAATTTTTGGAAATCTTTTGGTTAGCCCTTTAAGCTCCGATATCCACTTATAAATTCTCCAATCTGATCTCCATACATTTCCTTGAAAGAATTGATGCACACTTCCCTTGAGCCCTTGCAAACTAGTAAAGCTTACGTCATCGCGCACAATTAATAGAATAGTCCAGCAGGTTGATGATAGGTGAATTAAAAGCACTAAAATAAATAAATAAGTAAATAAATAAATGAATAAAAGCACTCAACTGGGTCCACAGATATAGATACATTAGTTGATTAATATTAGCTATGGGCCCACCCGGGATCCACCTTTTTTTTTTTGTATAATTTAATGTAGGGTGAGACAGTGTCGAGAGGGGAACTTCAACAAAGAGTCTGTAAAACACTAAGACCCAAGTTTTGTTTGCATGAAAACGAGGTTGACTCTTGTTAGTGTTTTAAGGTGTTGCATATGAGAAGCTAGCTATAATGCTCACGAATGACTTGTAATTGATAGCCTTAAAAGGTTTTCGCCGCAAGAAATGGCCGGGTAAAGGAGGATTATTTTGGCTGCTATTAAGGATTTTACATTGGCTCAGTAAATTCCCATGGCTTTAGTAAGATGATATCAAATAATTATATTGCTAGCTTTTTATTTCACGATAATTATTAACGATTGAAAGATACGATGATCTGACCTTTCTGAGGTCATTATCAGTTATCGGTAATTAATACACTTACGGTAGGCAAAATCTGAAACGTGGAAAACTCAAAAAACAGTAAACCACTGCAAATATCAAGCATTAATAAAAGCTATAAGACCCTTAAAAGCTACAAAGGGTTGTCATTTACAGTGTTAAAGTATCCTTTCATAACCGAGACAGTGTCGAGAGGGGAACTTTAACAAAGAGTCTGTAAAACGCTTGCACCCTGGTCCCCGTAAAGCTATAAGACCCTTAAAAGCTACAAAGGGTTGTCATTTACAGTGTTAAAGTATCCTTTCATAACCGAGACAGTGTCGAGAGGGGAACTTTAACAAAGAGTCTGTAAAACGCTTGCACCCTGGTCCCCGGGGGAGGTACTTCTGGGA